GTGAAATGAAAGATATTATAAATTTAATCTTTAAAGAAAAAGTGCAGGATTAACTGTAAACAGTGGTTTATCTGTGGTCATGCACAACCTTTACCCCATTAAGAATTTTTTAAATAAGTGTCTGAGGCACAAGGCTATGGTTAAAACATTTAGTGTCCCAACATTTTGTAAGTATGGCTGCATAATTACCATAAAACAAAATAATTTTACTTTTTTGTGAATGCACTCATTTTCTTTTTTTAGTATTCATCATGTGTACAAACACAGTTGACCATTTCCAGGGTTTGTGTACCTGAACATTTCTTGGTCAGCTACTCCTTTGTAGCTGCCTGTAGTCTCCACTCTTTGCTTGACAACCACCAAAAAACACAGTCCAGCACACAATAACCTTATTAAACAACCAGCTGAAATTCTTTAAGCTTCAGATCAGTACATATTAATCAAACAATATGTAACATGTGGATGACTAAGCTTTCAGCACATTTAGTTACACATGAACAAACCAGGATAACTGCTTCTCATCAAACTCAGCGGCTCCCACTGGCTCCATATTTACCTTATTGGAAATACTGCCTAGTAACTCTTGGTGACAATGTGGTATTCCTTTAGAAATAAGCATGCAATTAACCTATTACAATGAACAAAAATATAAAATATTACCAACTAAACCCACCAAAAGTCACCAAACAAGTGAAAATGTAGCATTTCTGTTTAATTCATCCAAACCTGGGCCCACTTGTCCTGTGCCCGATTTTAGTCGTCCTCTGAAAATCACCTTATGTTCATTGGTGATTTTTGCAAATAAAAAGATTAATTATTTAACAGTTTGACACTTTTTATGATAAAGCTCTAATAAAAATAGGGATGGCATGTCCACTGCTTTGGCCCAGGCTGAAATAGCTCAAAAATCACCAAATGGATCCCCAGGAAATGTGGAAATGTTGCCATGAGAATGAATGCTGATGGCTTGATGACTGCTTGATTCCATCATGACCAACCTTTGTGGTTTTGAGTGAAATGTCTATTCAACAATGGGCATCAACAAGCTCATTAACACAGTGTCACAGATGTGTGACTTACTGACTTGTGATTTCTGGTCTATGACCCCACTCTCCATCTGACCACCATCATTTCAATCCATCAATCTATCAGTGTAATCATATTTGGTTGTTGCATGAGGTCCTTTCTGTTGCAGAGATGCTGTGTGTACTTATTCTGCTAAGTTAAAAAGAATGGATAGAATTAAATGAAATATGATGTACAGTGCATATATTTTTCTTCTGCAAAGATTCTTGACAGAGGTAATGATCATGTAAAGAAAAACAAACAGCAATGCAAAATATTACCAACACGAGTTTAATGTTAATCTTCAAAATAAGAAAAATATTCTCTTCTCTGGTATTTTCCTCAGAATACAAATGACTCCAGATTTGCATTAGCAAAGATCTTTTAAAATCCATTTTGAGTGAGAGTTTGGCGGAGTATGTGCGTGTCGTCAGAAGCCAGCAATCTGCTAAGAGGCCTGCCTAAGTATTTCCACAACAACATCCTGCTGACAGCAGACAGAACCCATTTTTCAGAAATGGTGCTCAGACATTGTTAAGCTCTAAATTGCTTATATCTGCCCATAGTTTAAACTCTGCTTAAGGCTCCGCTGTGAAGAGAATCTAATGATCATAAACAATGTCTAGACTCTTTACCTCTATTCATGAATTATTCAGTCTAAAGGCAAAACAAAAGAATCCTGTTGAAAAACCCATTATTTGCATTTGATTAAATCATTTTAAGTTATGCTTAATACGAAACAGAAAAGCTTTACTTTAACATAAAATAAATTCTGGGACAACTTAATAGAAGCTGTAAACAGAGAGAAGAACTCTCTACTACTGTATTAAACTAATAATGACATAAAAGAAGCTCCCCTATTTCCAGGTATTTCTATAATAAACTGCAACAAGTACAACATGTGTAATATATGTTGATCTTTTCTCTTTTTAATTAGCCGATAAATAGACCGATATACAATGATGGCTGCATGTGCGGTTCACACATCATTCTGTCTTCATGTCTTAGCTGTTGTATGGTAAACAAGAGAACTTGTTTAAAACTAGATAACACTGGAGGTGATATAATGCAGAATGTGGCTTCTAATCGAATCTGTTGTTCAAGTTTCTTTTTTTTTAAGGGAATATTGCCCAAGGTGCTGTGCCGTAACCAAAGGACCAAATCATTCAGTGGTGAGAAACAAAACATGTGATCCGTCTGGAAAAACCTTGTCAACAGCAGAAATTCATCCGAGTGTGTCCCAATAAGCAGCTGCAGGTGTGTAAGGCAGGTATGAGCTCATGCCAGCATTAAACCACATAATGTAATGTTGGAATTCAAAACTCATTATACATTCCAACCTTTAAAGAGATACCCCAACATACTACCATAATACCATTATTTAAATCATTGTTACACCTGTTTTGAAGCTTGGCACTTCTTCTACACTTGTGACCCTGTTCTTCTGTTAAGAAAGTTTCTTGCAGTCTCTTCAGATGCGAAAAAGTTCTGCACGTTGTCTCACTTAGTAGCTGCTTTATTTCATACTGATTTCATGCAGTGTTTTGAACCAAACAACCTTCACTATAAGGCTGTGGAAGTCAAGACAATAAGCGAGACAGCCTGAAAGAGTTTTTTTTTTTTTTTTTTTTTTTTTTTTTTTTTTTTCAACTTCTGCTTCCCTTGAAGGCATCTGTAAGTTATCCAAAGGAAGGTTGTGTTTTTTTTTAGTGTTTTGACAGCTACTGCCTCTTCTCAAGAGTTTTTACACAAGAAAAAAGAAGGTAGACAACAATAAGGCAGCTTTTTAAATTCATGAAAACTATGGCCCTGAATTATATGATGCCCGTGGCTGGCTGACAAGTCAAAAATCTGTAGTTGGGCAATTAGGACTTCTTGATTAAAAAAAAAAAAACAGGTTGTATGAGCTGTGGCATTTGATAGAAGAGAAACACAAGTCTCATTTGTGATTTTGAAATCATATATTTCAATTTAAAGCTACTTTATACTTCTAATCCTCTGCATGTAAGAAATATTGTAGGGTGGGGATAGATGAGGCAGTTTTTACTTGAGGTGTCTTTACAGTGGGGGCATGACAGTTATGTCTAGAAATAACATGTCCATATACTTCAGGATGTGGGGCATCCCTGGGAATAGTTAGTTTGGATCTAACTGTTTTTAAAATATGGCTTTTTTTAAAAAAATAATAATAATAATGTTTTCTTGGCTCAACTTGCCCCCAGCAAGGGGGCAATGCTCAGCATTGGAGAAAATATGCCAGGGTAAATTATGCTACTCATTGCGTTGAAGTAAAAATTAAGATTTTTTTTTCAACTTCATATAATGCTATATCAAAATACGACAACTTCAATGGCAAATGATCTCCTTAAAGTTGTATTTAAAGATAAAATGTACAAGTTTAAAAGCTAATTTCCTTCCATAAGGCCCACAGATGACAAAATCTGGAACAGAATCAAAATAATCAAATTTTACTTTTTTTTTTTTTTTTTTACAAAGCAGGGCTACTGTTCAGTCTATATAAAGGTTACAACTTTAAAGTCCACTTGTCTTCAGTAAGGCCTACGGATTTCACAGTTTTTAAAACAAAATCATATTTAACTTCGATAAAGTTTGCAACTCCAAAGACCTTTTTTCTTCAACAAGGCCTACGTATTTCACATTTTCATAACAAAATCAAGTTAGAAAAGAATAAAATTGACTGCAGTTCTCATAGAACTGGGTTAATACAGAACATCCCACCTGTGAGCACTGCACACAGGCATTCGTGCAAAAATCAAGGCAAGATCAAAATTGACTCCAAATCCACTGCAGTTCTCGTTGCACAATCTTGAAGCTATTCACCATGCGACACACTGCAGGAGAATATAAACTTCTGCTCCAGTCTGGCGCTTCCCCCTGGGTTTTGAGGTGTTGGTAGTTTCTTGATCGCCTACTTTCTATGGATGACTCCCTCATCTTTCTCCTTGAAGGTCAAAATTGCCCTTCCATCCAGATGGAGCCAGTGGCTTAACTTAACCTAGATTAACTTAGCCTTTTGGCTCAACTCACCCCACTGTCACCATTTTAACAAAAGTGCATCATCCAGGCAGCGTAGACATAACTTTACATGCTAACATTCCGCCTCAGATCGTAGCTTACTAACGTACTCATACAGGTGTGAAATTGTTTCAGATGTCTCAATAACTATTCAGACACAACACTCATAAAACCATAAAGATTAAAAATGTACTTTGAATGGCAATAAACTGTTTTGTTCACTAAAATGTGCTTATCTCTTACTCCATGTGCTCCTTCTCTTCACTGGGAGAGTTTCATGGACACCTCTTCAAAAATGTTTGCTTACATGATGAATTTCTTCTCTGGTTTTCTAGAAACAAGGGGAGGCTCAACTAAACCACAGGCTCTTCTTACTCCACTCTGCTCTACTATTCATCAAGTCAGCCTATTTGACTGCTGTGTGAGATTAAATGGAATTATCTCACACAGCAGTCAAATAGGCTGATTTGTTCAAGAACAGGTCATTTTACGTTCAGTAGATGGTAGAGTTACCTGACAATATTTTTGCTTAAGTAACTAGAAATGTTTACCTGTAACTGACTGCTGTTATTTTGTTGTAATGTTATAGTTCTTAATGGTATCTGCTGCTGCTTTACTCATATGAGACTGGGAGCTTTCACAGATGTACATTCACTTTATTAGAACACCTGGAGTACCTGTGCTGCATTAAAATAAACCACACAGATGTTCCTAATAAAGTGCCTTTACATATTTCTAGCTACACACACGTCTCACTGCAGTACAGACGAGCTGACGCTGGGTGGCGCCCCAGCTCGCCACGACTTGACTGTGTTTTATAATGTCCAGCAGTCGTCGCTCAAACTCCAGCCTTCCTCTGCCAAAATCAATCCCACAATCCTCACACACCGGCGGTGTATTCATTTGAATGGTGAAACTGTGAAACGCTAGCGATCCTGCCCGAAGGGGAGTTGCGCTTGAGTTTAACCAGTTTTTCATGTTTTGGATTTACACACCCGAGGAGCTCTCATAACATCTCACAAAATGATTCGGTCGGTATTTAACTTTACTGTGTGAAAATAATATCTGAACTAGCGTTCATGAAGCCATATGTTCACTGAGTTGGAATGCTAACTAGCTAGCTAGCTAGGGCACACTAGCGGCCCAGCTAGTTACTTTCTATATACGTCTCCGTGTTTTCTTGATAGTTGAGCTAAATGCTAAAGCTAGCTGTGGTGTTACTGCAGGAACACGAGCTAACTTTTAGCTGGAATGAAATACAGCGTTACACTTCTCAAAACATCGGCTGTTTCGTTCCAAGCACGGCAGACAACGTACAGACGTAACTTTATTCAACATGTAGTGACATTTGTCACCTGTGTTGTAGCATAACTGGCTAACAGCAGCCAACGCCTTTGTAACTAAAACACGGCGTTTTTGTTGTGTGTATCTTGTTTGAATGTGTGCATTTAGTCTTCCTTAGTCACTGTGTTGCTTTTTAGACCACATGTTGTTCACTTAGTCAACCTGTTAGCTTTTAGGCTACAAGAAGTGGCCGTGACTCCTCCTAAACTTGAGGTATATCACCAACGATTGTCCCAACTGTTTGTCCAACAGTGTCCCTTATTATGGCAGCTGGTAAGAATGTTTGGCAGCCGAAAGTCTTTAAGGTCAACCAGAGCAAATCCAATGGCTTTCTTCAACCCTGTCTGCACACTTCTGCTGAAAAGAACATGAAGCAGGTATGGAGATGTAATAGCACGTCCCATGACTTGTTGTGTAAATAACTATCCTGTTGTCTCTGAAATCCTGGTGACTGTGAAGTGAAGTACAGTTCAGTGGTATTGTAGCAGTAGAGACTGTAGTAGTGGCCTCATCCCCTATCCTTTTGTTTTAGGTGGATATTATTAATAAGGAAGAATTAGATAAAGACAGGTGAGTCTCCGATCCACATCTGTGGGATTCATCTAATTATAACCATTCACTCACTATGTGTGTCCCACAGATCACACAGATCCTTCTCAGTCACTGGACCATTAAGGCACCTTTCCATAACCATTATCACAATGTCTGTGGCTTTGAGTTTGATGATTTTCCAAACTGTGGCAGCTATGTATGTGGTTCATCTCGACTCCCCTCTTGGCAGATTGCAGGTGCATCGCAGAGTACACAGTCAGGACAAAGCGAAGCGGTTGTCATCTTGCAAGAGGAAGAGTTGTGCATTGGTGGAGGCGGGCAAAAAGCTGCACCGCAGAACGTCAGATGTAGGCCATTCCTGTGACCCCGGCATGGCCAACAAAGAAAATGAGCTGACGTGCTCCGATGATGTGCGGGGCATTCACTATAATGACAACCGTGGGCTCCCGGTGAACTCTGCAGAGGCCTCCAAGATGGCAGGGGCCAGCTCCAAGTACAGTGACTTTACTGAGGTGAGACACAAAGCTAAAGCTGTTGCTTATATTGAGAAAATATGTACAGCTTAAAGTTTATATGTAAAATGAATTCTGCGCTTTTCATTTTGTTCAAAATTGTCTGTTACTGATTAAAAACTGCAATACTGGAGACACTGAAGTCTTTTTGTGCATTGTTTGTCTATGTATAGCTATCAAAGGACCATGAAGCTATGACACACGTCCTTTTTGGAAGAAATCTTCGACTTAAAGTAGCCCTAACACTATGGCGAAAAAATGCCAGTGAATTAGTGGCGTACCTAATAAGGTAAAATATTATTCACTGCAGCTTATAGTGCTGTTTGGTAGTTTGTGCTAATTCCTCAAATATGCAACATGTTTCATTTTCAACTTTCTTTGTGGTTTCCCAGAATTCAAGATGCAGGGGTGTTGCTCGACTGCTTACCTGTCTTAACAAACAAGTAAGTCACATTATGGTTTTAGGTTTTACCTGTAATGACTTAACTGCACAATACAACAAAACTTTATTTACCCTCTGAACTCCAAGCACTTTCTGGGTGTTTTTGCTCCTGTCACATTTTTACACACTCATCTTTTTTTTTTGTGCTGTGTAAGTCCATAACTGCTCGTTTCCAGTGTCTCCTATTACTCTGGATTTTCCATGATGGAATAATTGAAACTCGTGTCTATGTCACAAAAATCCAATTATGCATTTTGGTTCTTTCATAGATTTATTGTATGTCTTCTGGGAAAATGACAAAATCAGCTGGGTCAAAAATATCCATACAGCAACTTCAAATCACAGTTGTGGTGTTAATCAAATTCTCTTAGCAGCATGGCCTTTATGAAGCAGCTATAGATCTGAGAATTATCTGTGCAAACCATTGTTTGTAAGTACAAAGTGTATGGTACAGTTGTGTCGCTGTGCCATAATCAGGATAAAAAATAAGCTGTCACCTGTTGCTGATAGACAACTGGTTAGAATGGTCAATAGCCAACCAAGAATAACCAAAAAGCAGGTCTAAAAATGAATTAGAAGATGCTGGAACACAGGTGTCTACAGTGTTTTACATCGCCATTGGCTAAGAGGCTGAGGTGCAAAAAGGAAGCCCTTTCTTCAGAAACAGCACCTTAAAGCTCGACTGAAGTTCACTGCTGATCATATGGACAAAGAAAAAGTCCTTCTGGACTAAAGTCCTGTGGTCCAACGAAACAAAAATTGAGCTATTTGGCCACAATGACCAGAAATACGTTTGGAGGAGAAAAGGTGATGCCTTTAACCCCAAGAACATCAAACCAAAGCATGGTGGCGGTAGTATTATGCTCTGGGGCTGTTCTTCTGCCAGTGGAACCAGTGCTTTACACAAAGTAAATGGAATAATGAAGATAAAGGATTACCGCCACATTTTTCAGGAAACTTCAAATCATCAGCTAGTAACTTGGGTCTTGAACACAGTTGAATGTTCCAACAAGACAATGACTCCAAACACACATCAAAAGTGTTAAAGAAAAGGCTACATCGGGCTGCAATTAAGGTTTCAGACTGGCCTTCCCAAAGTCCTGACTTCAACCCCATTGAAAACCTGTGGGCTGTGAAGGAAGGAAACAGGTCTGTGTCAGAAAGCAAACAAAAGTTAACTGTACCAATTCTGTCAAGAGGATTGGTCAAAGATGTAAGCAGAAGCTTGTGGATGGCTACTGAAAGCCCCTAATTGAGTTGAAAAAGTCAAAGGAATGTTTAACCAAACATTGCTGTATGTATATTTTTGACCCAGCAGATTTTGTCATATCCCCAGAAGACATACAATAAATGTATGCAAGAACCAAAATGCACAATTGTTTATTGTGATGCTACGCAGGGCTTTCAATGGTTACATCATAGAAAATTAAAGTTATGTCGTTGGAAACTCCAAACTGCCATGATATACATGGTCTTTACAAGTATATGTAAACTGTTGTTCACAACTGTATCAATTACTGTATCATCTAAGTTATTTTTTGCATTGCCTTAGTATACATGTAGGCCATCCAAAATACACAAAGTATCTTTTATTGGTATTATAGCTGTGCCCACTGAAAACAATTCCCCCATAATACAAACTATTTAAAAGTGAAATCAAGACTTGAGATGGGAGGGAAACTGTTATCCAGTCATGTGTTTGTCATGTCAGAAGTTTTACTCGTCCCTGTAAGTCTCCAGCAGCTCGTTTTGATGTTTGATTTTCCTGCTGTTTATCAATCAGCAAGTGTGAGGCAGAAGTCAACAGTTAAGACAGTTTGTGCCCGGTTTGCTGTTTGGTTTTCTGTGCCTGCACACATTACTGACAATCAGCTCACTCCCTTTCATCTTGTGTTTTCTTTTCTGTCATCAGCCTTCAAGCTGAAGCACCATGTTTGTCACTTGGCTGCTGCGTTGACCTCATGCCGCAAGTCAAAGTGATTCTTGCCAGTAAATATGAAGAGTAAGTAGTCCTGAGGAGTTTGCACAAACAACCGTGATGATTTGTTTTCTCTCAGACATTACAGTTCAAAGTAGTGAGTTAAAAGTCATTGGATTTGCTGTTTTAGTCTTAAAGATGACCCTGCACTTATCCAAGAAGTTTCAGCTGGTCTGATAAATAACTAATGAACTGAAGTGAGAACTGTTGAAGCCTCATGGATGAGTGGTGAAATGCCTTTGACTCAGCACTTGCCTTTTTTTATATATATATGTGTATACATATTTTATGAGCTACATGACAGAATTTTCATAGATGTGTCTGACTTTATGATTTGACTAATATATATATATATATATATGCATACATATTTTATGAGCTACATGACAGAATTTTCATAGATGTGTCTGACTTTATGATTTGACTAACTTGTCTGGTTTGTGTGTTTGTTCTTTCTTTTTTTGTTTGATAGGCATATAGTGGTGGGTTTACACTGGGTTCAATCCGTCATCAAGAAATGGTGGCCAGAACTTTCCAAAAATGAGAAAAGACTGCGGGACAGTTGTTCAGAAGACAGGTGGGCACTGCATGCTTACATATAATGTTATAGAACCGTGGGGGAAGTGATGGATACATTTAACCATGGTTTCTTATTGAAAATGTCTGTGACCTACAAATACAATATTATATTATCTCTTAAATTTTGAGAAATATTTCTTTTTGTTATTTGTGCCTTTGTTGTCCGCGAAATAGCCTGTTTCCCTTGCCAGCAGTTATATGATCAAGCCAGATGCACTTGTTTAATGCATCACTACAATCATGGGTTTTTTGAATGAAATCGACGATCAGCTGTCGTCAGTAAATGATTGAATTTCTGTAGCGTAAAGGCCAATTAATGGTTACGGCATCCCCATGTGTAATAATTTAACCAGTAAAAAGTATATCAAGGAAAACGTATTATAGATTTCCTGTAGGACATGGTACCACCAGGTCAAGCGTTTTACAGTTTAATGAGATACAATTAGAGATGTGTTTGCTGACTGTGTTGCGTAACAAGAGAGCACCTCCTTGCAGTCCAACTGATAACTGGGGCAATTACAAAACTAGGGGTGGTGGCCGGTTTGGCCAGCTACCTGAGGCTCATGCTTTCACTAAAGGGGGAATTTCAAACACTAACAAACCAGAAACATGGTGTTTGTAAGCAGACAGCAGTTTTAGCGGTTAACACTGATAACTGCTGAGTACATGCTTCCAAAAACATTTATACTATTTATACTGAAGTGATGAAGTGTTTCTGCGCAGTGCAGCTCTGAGTATACATGCATTTTAGACGTGGCTGTAAATACCGACAGATTTATTTGTAGACATCTGTTGCAGCTGAGCAGCTTTTCCCAGCAGCTGGATTAACGTTAACTACAGTTACTTGATTCATACATCATTTAAATCAACTGAGGATAATTCTGGTATAAAACCACAGTGAAGAGATGAATAACATTACAGCGTATTTACTATGAAAGCTAAGGGGATTATAACTATGTCATATAATATACTATACACGTACAAAGTCATATTTGTTAGTTTACTGTGATAGACAGAGATGGCAGCATAACCATCACAGCTCAAAAATATCACCTCATTTATACAAGTTATTCTCTCCTGTGACTGGAGATTATTATTACCGATGTATTAATGTAAAAATCTGGATTTTACCATCTACAACTCAAAAAATGAGAATCCATTATCATTAAAAACCAGAATTATGTCATAAAAGTAGGCTTTGTCTCAGAGCAGAGTACAGATATATAAAACGGCCACCGATGGGATGTAGTACTACTTAGATTAAAGGAATAGTTTGGGATCTTTTTCCCAAATAAGCCTATTTTCAAAAATGCCAATCGTCATTCCTTTAACTTGCACGTTTGTGTTTGAATAAGTTGCATGCGAGAAGATAGACATTTTTGAGCATTTTAAGTGTTTCTGACAGTAACTGACTCTCCAGATATTGCATTGGTAATGTTTGTATGTTTTATTTCAGGAATATTGAAGTCATGAAGCAGCGGTTGAAGGACTTGTGGAAGGAAGGGGCCCGATTATGTTCGGTTCCGGGATCTATGGGAGAACTGGCAAAGGTAAAAGTGATATCTTTATATTGCTTGTCAGGGATTTTTCATGTGGCATACCTGCAAAATGTATAAGGGCTTCAGACTGTGTCCAAGTTAATACTACTACACACGGTCGCGCTTGTGTGAGTACATGATGGTCATAAGGCTGTTTTGATGCCGTTCTAATCACCACTGGTAGCTGCAGTGGTAGCCATTTTGGTTGGAAGTAGTAGTACTCCTCCATAGGCTCAATCAGTCTCACCCTACCTGGCATGTGAAACAAACCATTCAGCTTTTCAATGCTTTCAAGTTAAAGCAGTCTATAGCAGAGAATTTAAAAAACAAAATGAGGAGAGTGATGAGGCCAGTGAAGGTGGAGCTGTCCAAACTCAGACACGTCTGATGATGAGAATGTAGGTGCAGGCAGGTAAATACTGACTAAACCACTTAAGAAGAAAAAATGCAGTCATAATGGCGAACGCAATCCTGGGGCTGCAATATAATCAAATATTAATTCTAGTTAATGATCCGCTGTGATATTAATGTTTGAAATGCACTGCACTCATAGGAAATGCCACATAGAAACCAGATCATGGAGATAAAACCACTTGCTTTCATCTTCAGTAAATCTGACATTTTTTTTAAAAACTCTTTTTAAAGTAATGTTTGGTCACACATCTAACTAAGTGGGGATTGGAGGCCTCTCTCTACACAGCCAGCTAGCTAGTTTTTTACCATAGCCTGCATGTGAGGCATTTAGGGGGTGTTGATAGATTCTAATGTCTAGTGAGAAGTAGATGTTCACCAACCAAGTAGCTTAGCCTGTGCCCAATTTATAGCAGTGATATCAAACAACCTCAGATAAAACAAAATGAAAGTTTTTGTGTGTTTTTTTTTTAATAAAAGTATTTTTGCAAATATCAAATGTTGAGTCACTGTCAATCTTTACATTTTGCAAAACTGGCTTATGCAAAGATAGTTATTCACCAGTAAGCAAGGTTGATTTATGCCATGCTGTTGGAAATAAACAGTGCTACCGGTGGAAAAGTTAGTCTGGAGTGCTGCAGACAGTCAGTGCCCAGTTCTGTTTGGGTGACTCGCTTGAATGAGATGAAAAGTGCTTTTAGCTAAAGCACACTGACTTTGTGTCAAAAGTCAATGAAAACAAATTCAGTAGAGCTGCATCAACACATCCATGATAAAATCTCAAAATGAGAATTGTGTCACATAAATGTTTGTCACAGAACTGTTTTGACAGACTGCACAGGTGTTCTTGCTGGTTTTTCCACCCTCTGTTGATTTTGTGTGGATGCGACCAACCAGCTCCATCCTAAAAAAAAAAACAAAACCCTTGTGACTCACCGTGGGCTTTTGTGGTTGTTATATTTGTTTCCATCTTCACATTCCTACACATGTTGAAAAAGCATCAAACTACAGAATATCAGGTTCATTAGATGTGTTAAAATATGTTTTACTGATGCTACATTTTAAGTATGTCGTAGTGTCAGACAGCCACATCCACATTACACTTTTAACATCAATATTTTCCAACTATTTGAGTAAGCTGTGATGTCACAATGGGCAGAAACTGAAAATGAAAAGCAGTAATATTTGTTTGAATTGTGATATACTCATTGTGTTGATATCTAAAAGCAAAGATCATTTGAATGACTTCAATGACGTCAACTAATGTGCTCTCTCCACTTTGTGTTTGCAGGCCATAGAGGCTTCTCTACTGCAGCTGCCCTGACAGTTTTCAACATAGCACTCTGGAGTATGTGACCACTACTACCATTCATGGCTGTGTTTTGGACTGATAATGATGCCAGAGAAATGGACTGGTTCATTTTGCTACTTAAACACAAACCTCTTAACTGGGACTGAACTTGACAATTCAGAAAACTCCCTCAGTTAGAGCTGGAGAATCTTAAGCAGGGCCGAGAGAAACTTCCTGCACAGCAAATGACTGCTTCACATTGAAGTGGACCATCTTGTGAAGGGGTATGTTTAGTGGACCTCCGTGAGACTGGGTGTAATGTCGCTCTATGAAGTGCCAAGCTCTTTGTCTCTCACTGCAGCACTCTTCACCATGTAATGGATGTATCTTGTGGATGTGTGAATGCTCCGCTGTTTTGGTGTTTTGCGCCTGGGTTCTCTGGAATCAGGAACTTGAATCTGCAACAGTCTTTAAGTTATTAGAGCATGTTTTCTTGTTTTCATTTTGCCTCTTCCTATGACATTTGACTGTATAATGTAAAATGTAAAAACAAGTGATTCTTTTAATCTTCTTTCAAATAAATTGAAAAAACAATCAAAATGTTATGCTTTTATATTTTTTGTGTTCCGTAAAGAGGCGGTACAGTAAGAACAATCTCCTGTTAAACTGTAACAGAAATACAATCAGAAATTGTTGATTTGTACTCTTGAACTTTTTTTTCCCCAGTAAGTCAAAGTCAATTTTACTGTCACTTCCGCCACATGTGCTGGACATAGACAGGATTGAGATGCCGTTTCCCTCAGACCCAGGTGTAAGCATAGAAACAAGTATTTACATATATAACAGGTATTTACATATGTGACAAGTATTTACAAATGTGAAAAAACTGAACTTAAACAGTAAGCTTTTGAAATGAGATTGTTATACAGTAAATTGAAGACACAATCACATCTACTGTTTACAGCAAAACTGAATACATCCCTGTGCAATATCACTTACATTGTCAAATGATTTCAAATTGTATCACCATACAGTAATTGAATTATTTATAAGCTGACACAGTATTTCCCCAAATAAAAGAAAATAAACCAAATACTTTAATGAGACTACATGAAAAACACAGGCCCCAAAGCAGAAACTACATTCAGCAAAAGTGAATACACCTGTTATCACTGACTCACTTGTCAAAGTTCACAAAGATGGGAACTGATTCAGGAAGGGATTCAGGAAGATCAATGACCAAGTAGATATCTGGAAACGGTTGCAGTAGTAGTCAGGAGGCATAGAACAAGCCACGGCACCACTGATCAGAGCTGCAGTGGTCACCCTTTTAATATGACGTGTAACCGGTGGTGTCTGCACTGCGTTGTGTTGAATTGAGCCGAACACCGTTCTTTTTGGAGTTTATTGACACACTTGACAGACAATAAAACAATCACAAAATCCTCTTGTCAGTCTCAACTCGTACTGCTCTCCCATTGGATACGTGTACAAAAGGGCGGCCGCGTAAGGCAGAAAACATTCAACATTCATACATACAGTAAGTACAGTACATACCTTGACAGACGATAAAACAATCACAAAATCCTCTGTCAGTCTCAACTCGTGCTGCTACAGAAATTTAATGACAGAACAACATATTAGAACTGGGAAAGTAAACTTCTAAATGAAATTATGTACATAAGTTGACACACAGACAGCAGCAGCACAGTCTCGCTTACCTCTCCCATCGGATACATGTAGAAAAGGGGAGAGGAAAGGCGGGAAAAACACATTTATAGGGGTACGGTGGGTAACCAAAAACGAACGTGTGGTGCTGAGACCCCAAAGTGAAAGGTTCCACACCAAAACCAAATGCAGGCTAGATTTTGTGGAATTCTATTAATTAAAAGTAATAATAAAATAACAGTAAAATAATATATATATAATCCAATCTGTACAACAAATTAAACAATACATATATATTTAATATAAAACTGCTGCTGCATTACTGATCCTGTGGACAATCTACTACTGGCACGATATTCTTAAAAACAGGTGAGTGCTTCAGACTTGGCACACGGGTAAACAATGAAAATCTAAGTTTTTCTGACTGCTTAGACTGTGTGAGGGACTTCATAACAACAACTAAACATCTCTTGCTTGCTTTCAGGCACACATTTGCGAGCTGAAACAAGCATATTTGACTTGAACCTGGACGGGACCACCACAGTGAATCCGTAGTCCTGACAGTGAAGCACAGAGGATGGATGGTAAAGATGTGGGGCTGCATGAGTGATATTTATAGATAGCAACATGAATGTCTGGGAGTATATCAAAAATACTGGCTAGCACGATGACTTCCACACTGCAGAGGCCTGACAGAAGGGAGGAATATCCAGCATGGTAACAATCCAAAGCTCAATATTTTTAAAGGAAAGTGTTCACAAAGTGAAAATTATGACCTGGACAAGAATGCCAACAGAATTTGGTCATTAAAAAATAAGGTGGACAAACAAATATTCAAAAATGTAAGATTTTAAACTCTCTGTACTGAGAAGTGTACTTACTTTTGTTGCAAAACACATGTAATTACTGTAAAGTCATACAATGCTAAATCATTCGTGGATATTTCTAATTGAAGTATATCATTTGCAATTTAGTTATTTTGCAAATTAAGAAAAAACATACCGTATTCAACTGAAGCTTTAAATTATGATGATAATGTACAAAAAAAACAGTGACATTGGCGGAGTGTCATTGTCACGTTGTACAATAAAGTTTTTGAAAAGGTGACGTCATTTTCCGCAGAGACAGCTGATGCACCGAGTCTTCCTCCTCCCGAGCCGCTCTTGAATTCATGTTGATCTCCAAACAGTCAGCAGTCATTTTAGTTCAATAACGACAGACAGTATGTTGCACAGGGACAGAATACCGCTGCTGGTGATTTTCCTTCAGGCTGCGCTCGTCGTGTCGTGGTGTTTCACTGACATGGAAACGGGGCCTGGCGCAGGTGTATCGACACAGCCGAACGGAGATCGCTTCAAAATCGAGGGAAGAGCGATAGTTCCGGGGGTTAAGACACAAGATTGGGTATCCACAGCAAGAGTCCTGGTAGAGGGTGAAGAATATGTGGGATTTCTGAGGTAAGAAACGGCCACAACTCTAGCCGCTAGCTAGCTAGCTAACACACTAGCTAGGTAGCATTAGCATTGTTAGCTGATAGCTAAAGCCTGAAGTTGTGCTGCCAATGAGCGCCCGGCAGCTGGAACAGGCAGATGGCAGCTCCGAACTGTCGTAGCTAATTTACAGCTCAACAATTCTGGACGTAACTCTTGCCAACTTGTCCCTACACTTGCTTGTTAATTTCATTTTAAACTCAGCAGGCCTCTTTGGTCTTGAAACAGCTGTAACCATAACAAACCGCGGCCACAGGAGACCTAGAGCCTGGTATTGAAGCCCTACTAAATCACTTATTTACCATTTAACGGGATAAACATTTCCTCTGTGTTTGCTTAGTTATGACACATTGTATACCTTTTACTGAGATAAATGTAAGTGTGACTGTTAGGTAGCGCACTGCACGGTAGTAGCCTCGTTTATATTAGGAAACTAGACTGTAAGTAACATGATTTGCGGTGTGGATTCTATATATACATCTGAGATTCAACTTCAAGTTTAAGTCCCTCACCGCAGTTTTCCACCAGCTAAAAAATGACTGCTGCCTCTACATTGTGACTTACATGATATCAATGCAGGTCATATTTTGAAGATTGTAGCACATAGGATGCATACAGCCTAAAGGTCAGAAACTATACTATATGTAGTATCACCCATAATGTAAACGTTATGTGTGATTACATTATAGCCTGCAAGAAAAGTCATGTGTATTTGCACGTTGTGACTGTGTGATCCAGATAAAAGCAATAATAGCTGCATATAAATAAGGTGATGCAGCTTTAACAGTTTAGTTTTTTTTTTGGCACACCAATTTTTCCTTACATGGTTATTGTTTCTTGAACTGGAATGATGGGTTGATCAGCAGTAAAATAACAGGCATCTATCTTGATAGCTAAGCATTTGCTACAGTTGTATGTTGCTGGTTCTCAGGTTCCGCCTCCAACTGCAGAATTTGTTGAGTTTCAGTCATAAAACATAGCGACCCGCATATCTTTGGGGGTTTTGGATTGTTTGTTCCATTTTCCATTTGCGTTCATGTGTATGTCTGCTGCGATGGTGTTTCATGTTGAAAGTTGATAAACAGGTTGTTAGATACTCAAAAAACACATTTTTGTCCCATTTCTAAACCAGTGCGTTAACCATTGACCTAAAAAAAAAAACACACTCAGTTACTAGTTAATTATTTCTGCTTTCCTTAACCCAGTTTAATTTGATTGCAATGCTGCTGATGGTTTAGCCTCATTTCTTCATTACAAAGAAGGTCAACAGCAACACAGCGATCTGCATGATAGGCTCAAAATGTCCACTGAGTTAAACATGTGTTAGACAGGATGGGGTGAAGCTCCTGTAGGTGTATGTCATAAGTTGTAAATACGTGCAGCCTTGACAAAAATGTCACATCTTTTGTTGCAGAACTGATGGGAGTTTTGCTGTGAATGATGTCCCTTCAGGATCTTACGTTGTGGAGGTTGTTACACCCACCTATAGATTCGAACCAGTGCGTGTTGATATCACATCCAAGGGTAAAATGAGGTAAGGTCTGCCTGCAGTGGGGAACCAAACAAAAAGCATTTGTGTGTCATGAGTGTAGGCTTTGTAGTCGGTTTTGGAGGCGACTTAACCGTCTGAAACAATGTGTCATTTCACAGGGCGCGTCTTGTGAACTACATCAAGACGTCAGAGGTAATTCGCCAACCATACCCTCTCCAAGTTAGGGCTAGCGGCCCTCACAGCTACTTCATGAAGAGAGAAACCTGGGGCTGGACAGACTTCCTTATGAACCCAATGGTAGGAAACCTTAGAGAAATGTGTGAATAATGTATGAACTGCATCCTCAGTGGGTTAGAAAGTTATGTATTCTACAAAAATGTATTAGGTTAGAGAGATGTAGACGGAGAGTTAATGGAGTCATCATTGCTCAGAAATACAATCATGTCTTTTTAAAATGGATCATTACCCCTGGAGCCTGATGACATAACCCCATTTTGATTTTATGAATAGGTTTTTGACAATCTGATAGTTTTAGTGCTTCTCTGCCATGTAATAATAACATTAAACCTTTCTTCTGCAGAAGCTCTTAATTCCATTCCTTGGGGATTTAGCTAAAGTCGTTTACCAGTCAGACACACTTGTACTATGATATGCACTTTATTTCACATTGATAAAGAAAAATAGTACAATGCTAATACTTTTTTCAAAAACAAAATGATTAAAATAAGACTTTATTATGCTTAGTTGAAGTGTTTATTCTTAATTATCTCTCACTTGTCAAACAGTTGTCATGCAATCTGAACTAGTCAAAGGTTAATTAATTCCATTCTTGCTCTTCTGTAGGTTATGATGATGGTTCTGCCCCTGCTGATCATTGTTCTGCTGCCCAAGGTGGTCAACACCAATGACCCAGAGATGAGAAAGGTAATTAATACCTTCAAGTGTTATTTCAAAAATATTGGACAGAGTTAATTCTTTGATGTAGTGTTTGAATTGAATCCAATACATTTTGCTACCTTTAGTATAGATTTGTTTGTGTGGCTTTGTTTAGCATAAGTTTCTGAAACAACTGGTTGTGTGATATTCGTAGCAAAATCATTTTTTCTTCTCCAGTCATGACACCCCATCTTTGCCTCATCTTGAAGTGTGAATTCATCATAACTTTAACACATGTCACTGCAGTCTCACTTTTCAAATCAGAGAGGACATTCAGAGTCTGTCCTCAGCCGTCATATCTCCTTCTATAGCTGTTTTTTAAAAATTCACTGCTGTCTTTTCAGGAAATGGAGCAGTCGATGAACATGCTGAATCCCAACCCTGAGCTTCCAGATGTCTCTGAGCTCATGACCAAGCTCTTCTCCGGCTCCAAGGGCTCCAGCAAGGCAGGCAGCAGCAGCAAGGGCACCAGGCCGGCTGCCAAGAGGAGGTAGTACCGCACACGTCTCCCAAAATCCGCCTACAGAAGCTGCCATGGAAGCAAGATTTTTAAATGTCTTTTTTTTTTTTTTTCTTCTGGGTTTATTGTACAGATTTCTTTATTAATAGATGTTTTGAGCACATCTTGATTTCTAAAAAGATATTGGAAACTGAGCAAAAATACGTTTCTTTCCTTCTTTTTTTTTTTTTTCATACTGCACTGATAGAAAATTCTGCAAAAGCTGTTCTTCATTTGCTCTATACTTTGTACATGTGACTGTACTACTCATCAATCTTTTCTGTGCTAACCCTCCATTGTGCATTTATCTACCGCTGCTAATTCCACTACCTGAAAGAGAGCATATATGCATATTCAGAGATTTTCTTGGTTTCGTTTGTATTTTTTTCGGTTTCGGTAATACGACTGTGAATGAAGATAAATTGAATTTTAAGATTGATAAATTCTTATTTAAAAGCCTAGATAAATAAATTGCAATGGTATATGACAACTGTGTTTTTATTTCAATCCATCTTTTTTGAGAGTGAACACATGACCTTCTCATTTTTTGACTTACTGTGGGGAACTGTCTGGCTAGAATTCACATAACTGTAAATGATGTGCCTGAGGTGTACACATTCGTTTGATAACCACTGGAAGTTCAAAGAGTGAAAGAGATGTGTGGCTGCTTTCACAGTCTCTACATAGTGTAACTGGCTTTACTTTTAATAAAGCGGGCCGTAGAGTCCATATTAAAGTCATTATAAAATGTGTTTGTGATAACTATTCTCCTTTCATCACTCCTAGCAGCTGATTCAAAGGATGGCATTTAAATTGAAATAATGATGAATGACAAATAATAGAGTTTGATGAACAATAAGCTCAGCTCAAGGTCTTGCATCTTTCTTCGTAGCTTTCAAAAGTCTGAAATGTTCGTCATCAGCATTTTGTGTTTGTTCTATTATTATGGAGCTGAATCTGTTTGCATGTAGGCTCTGTAGCTGATATGATTGTGCTATACATATATATATATATATATATAATTGATGTAAAAATGCAAAACCACAATTGAAGAGCTGTCAAGAGCCAGTCCCTTAGATTGCATTATATTCCTAACACGGCGCTGGTCTATCAGAAGCCTGTTAAAAGCTATTACTGCTTCCTACAAGTTGAAAACAGTGTATTTTGACGAACTGGATATAGACTTCAGGTGTAAGTCAGTTATTTCCAGGATGCATTTCAAGCAGTTTCTCCTCCTCCTCTTCCACTGTCTGTGTGTTATGGTTCTCAGAATACTGTTGCGAGAAACAGCGACCACCGAGCAGAAACCTTACTCTGAAAATGGCATGTTTTGCTGAGGATGTGGATTGTGCCGTCAGGCAGGCCTGTCTGGTACTTGTCTTGAATTATCCATTTTAGTGACACCTCCCTGCAGGCTAATGTTCCACCAAAACAATTCCTACATTGCTATTTTGCAGGAACACTCGCTGCACCTCCCAAGATGAAGGTGACGGGTTTTAAGATGTGATAAGACCTACAGTAAATGTGTATTTGGAAAGTTTATTTAACGTTGTGCTAAAAGAAAACATGTTTGGGAGGTAAGCAGCCAAAACTTAACAAAAAGAAAATGACTAGTGCATGAAAAAATGCATTTCTTCCTTAGGTCACGGACACATCTCCACCACCATTCTCTATTTTGAATTTATGATCTTGGAAAAAAACAATTGTGCGTTTAAACAACTTTTGAACAACGTGTAAGGTCTATGGAGCTGTTGGTTTTGTTGTTTTCGTTTGTTCCATCAGAGCAAAGAGACTATTTTAATGCTGCCATTAGAGTCTTGGGCCCAGTGAAACCTCCAGTGACCTCCGGGAAGTCTATTCTGCACTTAGCAACAGTCGTGCTACTGGCACATGTTGTCGATGACACATTTGAGCAGTCAACTACTGGAGTTTGGTAAGGACTTTCCTCAATTTAAAAAAAAAAAAAAAAAAGAAAGAATTTACAAAACCAATCAAATCAGATTCAACAAGCTGACAGTGATCATTCTGTCTCTGAGTTTGTATTTCACTGTTCGTATCAGCACACTCACCTTCACAAAACTGCACAGATGGATGATGAGCACAGATTCATTCATAAAGCACTTTTGCCACGATGAGCAGAACAAAAGGCACAGAGTTGAGGGAGATACATTTGACATTACACCATAAAACACATAAAAGATCAATAATTTACAAGAGCGTCACTCATCCATCAGAGAGACATGAGGGTAGTCGGGCTTCAAATACATGTGTACAAAGTCTTTTTTTTTTCTTTTCTTTTTTACAGTAATAAGAATATTAATGGGAGTAGAGGTGTGAACCATAAATAATCTCACATGTAATATTACCACTGTTAAACTCATGTAGCTGTAAGTACACGTAAACATACAGATTAGCCCTTAGACACAAGACCAAATATCAACTGCACGAGCCAAGATAGAAAACAGAAGAAAAAACATTCACTGAACACTGATATACAATAAGCAAATTACATTTACCATTTGTGAAGTGTAAAATCCAACATGAGTGAAATATATTCTTCGTACTATACATTGTTTTTAAATCGTGTAAGCCTATATTATGTATTTATGTACAAGTAAACAATAGAATAAAGGAGGGTTATATGCAGGATATGCAGAATTTTTACTGACATGCTCACATAGTATGTTGATTAAAAGTTGGTTGTTATTACTCCGGTGACCAGGCAAAGACAGGCTGATGCTATAAGATGAGCAAATTGTTGAAGTTTGGCCCTTTAAATGTGGATTTGAAGAGACTTACACATCTGAGATTTATATTATCTGTGATTTCCATTGTGAATTAACAACTGTAAGTCTGGTTTGAAATACAAAAACAGCTCCCTTTGATGCCATAACCTGCCTGGTAAGTAAACTCATGATAGTTGATGTGTACAAGCTTTAAAAGCGGGACTTAAAGTGTAGCTCTCGACTAACTTACTGTCTCCATGGTAATGCAGCATCACCTTTTGTCAACACTTGCTTTGATGTAGGAGAAAATGACAAAATATACATTCCTGAGCCAGATGAAGTGAACATGTTACAGTCTTTTTAAATGCCTTCTTTTCCACCACGTCACCATGATAAGAAATTTATAGCACAGCTGCTGATGTGTGAAAGAAAATTCATCTTGACATTTTACCAGAGCCTATCTAATGCAGTTTAAACCTGGAAAAATGAAACAGGCTATATAAAAAAAATATATTGTAATGACTGTGGTGAGATTAGCATATTCAGGTGTTTTACTTTGGGAGAACCTGCTAAAAAGTATATTCAGTATGTAAACATTGCTCAGAAAGCTCTAGCTGCAAACAGGTTATTAATGTATTAGTGAACACCTCGTCTTTAACTCTGACTTTGAACACCAATTAATGGAAGCTGCTGTGTAAACAGATAATGAATAACTGAATGAATGTGAACACCACAACTTTCTTAGTTTTAGACCTTTGTTCTGTATCTATCTGCATGTCTGCATCATGACTCCAGATAAAAAAGAATTGCCAGAGGAACAAAAAAATCTGTTAGAGACTTCATAGAGATATAAAATGATACAGGAAAATCAGTGATCCTCAAAACGTCAGTGGAAACACTGTTGCAGTCATAATCAGGACGTATAGAATGAGCCGTAGTACCACGAATCCGAGCTGCTCTGCCTGTCCTCCTTAAATGGAATCACAGAAAGTGTGCTACCTGCACTATCTAGCTTCACACTCTGCACAGGGGTTATCAATAAAAATCGAAAGTACCTGTGACAGCGGGAATGACATTACATAATATCAAACTCTTTGGACAGCATCCAAGAAAAACACTCTTTCTGTTCAGTCCAAGACTGCAAGAAGAAACTTAAGAACAAGAAGAGAAGCCCGGTGAGTGTTGGGAGCACATTCTTTGGATAGATGAGATCAAAATATATTTGTTCAGCTGGATGGAGTCCAGTATGTTTGGTGTGAACGTGGTGAGACTACCACAGTGAACGCATAGTCCTGACAGTGAAGCACAGATGTAGGAGTGTAATGATATGGGGCTGCATGAGTGGAAAAGGTTTTGGGGAGAAGACATTTATAGATGATGGTCTGTGGGTATACCAAAATACTGGCTCACACGATAACGTTCAGTTAGCAGAAGTTTGGCAGAAGAGAATATTTATCCGTAATAATGATCCAAATCACAATGCCAAACTCTCAAAAGAGTTTGTAATGAAGAAATAAGTTAAAATTATGAGCTGGACAAGCATGTTGCCAAATTTGATTCCTATAGAACACCTCTGGGGTATTTTAAAGAGAAAGGTAGGACACCATAGCCCCACCAGAAGAGAGCTGAAAAAAATGATAGTCTCTGTAGAATGACTGAACATCTCTCGAGAAATGTGTGCACCCTCGTACCTTGCATGCAGAGAACTAAGTCTGTCATCCAAAAAGAGGCTTAAATCTCAGTCATTGAAGTTTGACATTTGTTGCATTAGGTTCCTATTGTGGGTTCTGTATTTTTAATACAGTAAATCTAAAATGTTCGTTTTTTTATTTTACAAATACTGCTCAACCTAAAAGTAATACAATTACTGTAAAGTGATACAGTTTTGAATTATTTGGCATTTAACTAATGCTGTACAAGAATGTATCCACTTCTGTTGTTTACTGTATGGTAAAGTACAGTTTTTAAAAGAATGTTTCTCTGTAGGAGACCAGGCTCACTCATGACACATACTGTATATTCATGAATGCATGTTCTTATAGCTGCTTAAAATTACGTCACTGAATATTCTATAAAATAGATCTAAACATCATTAAAGGTATGTAAACTACTTTTAAATGCTAAACAGAGGATTTAATATAAAGTGCTCCCAGGGCATTCTTGAACACCATAGTTGACTACTAGATATTAGTGTTAAATGTACAGATTGTCATATTGACAGCTTGAAACTGAATAGCAAAAAGGTGAAATTAATGAGGTGGGAAATGTAGAAAAGGGACTGTTATAATACGCTAAACTGGCTCAAAGAATACAGTGTTTTTTTTTTTTTTTAAATTCGTTCTCTTGAAATTTTATTCGGTTTTTGTTTTCACCCTGACATTGAGCAAAAATCTACTACCATTTAGTTTTGCAGCAAAACAATAAAGAATCAAGAACCTTTCTGTCATCTTACTCATATAAAAATGTGAAGTGAGTATAAAGCTTGGTATCTCTGGGGGCCAGGGTAGCTGCAATTAACATTTATGCAGTGCAAAAACAAGACAGCCAACATAAGGTGCTTGACAGGAAGAAGTAGAAATTGAAAACTGTGCACAAGCCAAGACAGAACACTGCAGGGAGGAGACAGAGCAAAAATGTAGAACGTGAATATTGTTAAGAAATGAATATTTAATATCAAAACCTTCTTTCATTGGCACTGAAAATGGTGTTATCAACAATGAAGCAAGCAACTTATTCCCTCCAACAAAACCACACTTGACAAAGTGAATTATGGACACATATAAAGACATAGTTACTGAGAAAGCAATGCAGACAGACAATGTAGGACGAAGAAAAATTTGCTATTCTACTTTGTGTGTTGAGTCTTTAGATATAGTTTATTGGTGTTCGGTGTATTGCTGGACTGTTGTTGTCGTGGTTTGTCTCTTGTTGTGACTGGCTTATTTGGACTATGTAGTTCTGCACAGAAGAAGGACTGTATATTTTGTCTCCCATCTTTCACATCTCAGTCAAGGTCGGAGGAGATTGTTGCATGGCCAGTATGGAGAGGAGGAACAATAATAATAAACAACATTTCTGTCAACGTACATATGGGCATGTGAGCATTGTTTTAAAGAGGTCCTCCACTGATTTAACATTGCACTCCTATAGTGAACTATTAAAAACAAAACTGCTGCAACAGAACCAGAGATGCTTTTCTACACTTTGTCAAAATCGCACAGCTACGTTACCCACAATGCAATGTAATTGCAGTTTGGTCAGAGATCTGGGCGTGTCCTGCAAGTAGCAGCTAAAAGCCTTGAGACACTGGCCTTAAGCAGAGATGAGGCAGGGATTTGGTAAGCTCACTTCTTTCTAAACTTTACATCCACATTTTTTCCCCCTAAACCAGTGTTCACTCATTTGAAACGATCTATTAGATGTCACACAGTTCCCTCAGCAGCCGTGGGGCTTTTACTTGTGAACAGACTTTAATGTGTAAAATCTGTGGTACTTCCCTTTAGAATAGACTTTTAAACAATCTAAACTATTTTAAACCTTTAATCATGAGAAGATGCAGCCACCTTAATGAGACTTCTCTCCTGGAATCATCTGGAACAGCTGTAAAAGTGCTGCATCAGGCTCATTTCCACCAACATGTATTTGAACACACAAAATCACATGCAGCACTTCATGCTGAAGATGACCACTGACTGCAGTATACATTAAGAAAATCCAACATGTGGGCAACTATTCTGCTATAACAGACACTGCAGTGCCATATCAAGTCATTTTATTGTTGACATTTGGGTTTTGTCCACCCCAATACAGCTTGTCCTCGCCTCTCCTCCTCCTCCTCCACTGGCACAGGAGGAGCATGCGGAAGGTCTTCTGGAAGGTCTTGTTGCACAGAGCGTAGCACATGGGGTTGATGGTGCTGTTGACGTAGCACAGCCAGTAGCCCAGGTGCCACAGAGACACAGGGATGCAGTCGACACAGAAAGTGGAGATGAGCACCATGATATTGTACGGTGTCCATGTGAGGATGAAAGCCAGGAGGATGGCACTGAGAGTCTGGGCTGCCTTCTTCTCCTTCACCAGCACCATCCTCTTTCTCTTGGTGATCTGGTTCTTCAGGACGGGGTCCATGGGCTTGGAAGCGGTGGAGGAGGTGGAGGGGGAGGCGTTTTTGGCGGGCTGCTCTGCTTCAGGCGGGCACGGTGTAGCACTTGTGGGATTGCCGTTTTTACCCTTTGAGCCAGGCTTAAACTTATAAGAGATGCACTTTTTACTGTTCTTCTTTTGAGGAGAGGAAAAATACTGATCTTCTGTATAATCAGTCGCCTGCCCATTCTTGTTACTTTGTCCACTGCTTTGCTCTTTGAAAGATCCTTGTGGGGTTTCTATTGATACGGGATGCTCCTCCTCCTCTGATGACGTGTAGCTGTTAAAAGAAGTGATCTGGTCTGCTTTCGCCCATGCCTCATCTGATCTAGTGGTAGTTTTAGTGACGTTACTTTGATTAGATGAGGACCAGGAAGCCTGACTCTGGTCCCTCCTCTCTCTGGTGAAATGAAAACAAGAATGAATGATTGTTTTCTGAGGTTTAGTTCCCTCTGGAACATTTCCTGTTGTGAGCCCTTGCAGCTCTGCTAGATCTTTTGTCCGTTTTTGCGTCTCCTTGTAGATCCTGCAGTAAAGGATGGTCATAACAGAGACTGGGATGTAGAAGGCAGCAATAGCTGTCCCAAATGTGATCACAGGTTCTGTCAAAAACTGGATTTGGCACTGGTCCACAGGTACTGTTCTCTCTCCTACAAAGTACTGCCAACACAGAATGGGCGGCGCCCAGAGGACAAACGACACCAGCCATGCCAGGCCTATCATAATGGCTGCTCTCTTTGGAGTCCGCTTCGCCCTGTAAGTCAGCGGCCTTGTAATGGAGAAGTATCTGTCAAAGCTTATGACAAGTAAGTTCATGACTGAAGCATTGCTGGCTACATAATCCACTGCCAGCCAGAGATCACATGCAATGTTCCCCAAGGACCAGTAACCCATCAGTATATATGTGGTGTATAAGTTCATGGACAGCACTCCTATGATGAGGTCAGCGAAGGCCAAACTCAGCAGGTAGTAGTTGTTTACAGTCTTAAGTTGGCTGTTTACTTTGAAGGACAGCATCACCAGAACGTTACCAACTATAGTTATCAGGCTGACAATGGCTGACACTGTGGCTATGGTTATAACCTCCCAGAGGCTGTGAGGAGGCACCTGGACATTGGAAGTGTTGCCAAAAGTGCTATTTTGGAGATCCATGGTGCTGTGTTATCTGTCTGCGTTACAGTTGAGAAATTCCCCTTTGTGACCCCATGCAGACTCAGCGGTTTTCCTGAAATAAAAAGAAAACAGCAGTGAGATATATATATATTAGAATGGAATAGAATACAATACAATACAATATTTTTTTTTATTTATCTTTACTGAATTATTTTCAGTCATTACATATTTTCTAAACTCCTTCATAAATTTAATTCATTCAAAATCATTACAACGGCACTAAAGTGTAATTTATTTTAATTGTCATCTAATTTCAAGAAAGGTATGTAATTAAAAAACAAAACAAAAACTGTTTTCTATCTTATTGATTATTATGTAAATAAGTATTCTATTTTTTTAATTATTATTATTGCTGTAGCCCTGTGATAGACTGGCACCCTGAGTCAGCTGGGATAGGCTCCAGCCCCCCGCGACCCTAGTACAGATAATGGATGCATGGATGGATGTAATTATGTATATTTATTGTATTTTTATATTTACATTTTAGAAATGTTATTCTTCTTGAACAGTATTTTCATAGCATTATGATAATTAAGTCCATATTATCTTGTACTTTCTGAATTACGGAAATAAAACAAATTAAAACAATATTTTTGGCACTCAAACTTGAAAAGCTTCTACATTCCTGTACAGAGCTGTTGGTTCAAATGAAACCCGGAACTACACACCAAATCAAACACGTACGACAACATTCGATGTAACACCCATTCCGCTCAACTATGAGGTGTCACACGCTAAGCCGTCCGTCTACAGTTGACAGTAATGGACGGCAGAGTAAACAGAGGTAGGGGAGGCAGTTGGAAAAGAGGTGGCCGAGCTGGAAACGACGGCGAAAGTTTCGGCGGCGAACACCGAGGCCGAGGCCGAGGAGGCCAGCACCGTGGCCGGGGGAAGAGAGACCACCACCGGGGCCGTGGGCGCGGAGGAGGCGCCTTTACAGCGGACTTCCATCAGCGGGTGAGAGTTTGTAGGAACTGTTGATGGCCCCGTTATCCCGCTCTGCCAAACCTAATTCAAGATCAAGTGAATTTGGTAGTTTTCGATGCTGACAGAATGCACACGTTCTCGGGTTGATACTGTAAATGCAAATAGGGCCTCAACTTTAATTCGGCCTATCTTGGAGTCATTTTAGTTAAGCGCTTACCCGGTGTTATAGCCAATTTGAACCAAAACTACACGTACACAGCCATCAGTGCTCATGGCGATGCAAACATATTGTGTTTACATAAAGTTGTGTTTCGTGGATCCCATGGATAAGTGGTATTCTACGCATGCTGTTTGCTCCCATACAGTCCAGTGTGCGACATGCTTTAGCTCATCATGGTCACCTCTGTCATCATGAATTCATCCACTCTTCTGTGCACATGTGAGATCCTGCCACCATGTGAAGAGCTGGATTGAACAGAATGATCCTTTTTAGGTGCATCATCATAGTGATCAAACACTTCATCGTACCATCTGGGCTTTGGATATGACACAAGAGACTTCAGCTTAATTTCCGCTGGGATGTTCAGTCAGTTAATGCCCCTGCCATGGTAACTACAGAATTAGGAGAGAAACAATAGGGGCTCTGTGATTGCAATCATAGAAGTCTACTTTGGTACATAGGGGCTCCTTGATTGCAATCATAAAAATCTCCTTTGGTGCATCCACAGCTACCATGTGGTCTGGATACTGTTGGAGAAAAATGTGCATGATTTTGTTTGACTTTCGCGAGGACACATGAAACACTGAGCGAACCCAAAGCTGTGTCATTCTCACGGTGCACATTTCCGTGGCATCATTGTAAGAAGATTTGAGCAGCTATGCGATAGTAAAGGCAGCAATGTATGACTCATAAAAATTTAACGAATTTGGTTTTGGCACAGGGAGGCGTCTATTTGTACGTACAGTGAGACATGCCATTTATCCTGAACTTTTTGTCAGGCTTAGCTGCCAATTAAGAATAGGAGCTATGTGTTAATGACCAGTATTACTGTTGTTATGACAGGAAAATTGTAGTCACCACATCCAAAACATGCAGTTAAGACAGTTAATTGTTAGTAGAAAATGACAGAAGTCTTAAAGATTTTTTCAGACTATATCCCAATGTTGTGATTTGCACAACACAGCAGTTACGTTATTGACAGAAGCCAGGATATAAAATCAGAATACTACCAGAATCCTGCACGCAAATTTCCAGTATGCAAAAACAAATAGAGGGAATGATCATTTTTAGCATTACTTTCCCACTCAAAAGAATATGAAAATGATGATGCTTGATCCCTTACAGTTGGAGAATATGACTTGTAGGAATGTTGCATTTATAATTATTGCTGCATATATCATTTCAGCATTGACAGTTCAGTGTGTAAATTTGCAGTAGTCACATTAACTAAAACGTAGAAGGAATGGCTCTCATTTTCCAGAACTAATCTACAAGAGAAGAACCTTATTTACTCTGATTTAAGGGTTCTTGAATACACAGACGTTTTATTTAAAGACACTGGTTTTGTTGACAGGCAAGGCTTCTCATGTGCACAGTAAAATGAATGAAGAATAGAAGAAATTCAGCATTGCTTGTTTGACCATTTAAATCAACACCAAAAAGCTCTTTAAGATGAGCGCAAAGCCTGAATGGTGTTTTGGAAGTCTTTGCCAGTACAAGACTAGCATTAGAAAGGATCCTAACAGATTTTTCAGCTTTAAAAAATAAATACAATTCTATGCTGATACCCTTCATTAGAAAAATTACCTCAATCTTCCTAAAAATGACTAATTTCTTCCAAACTTATTTAAGTCAGCTGCTAAAAAAAATCATATTTTCTTTTAAATCTCATTATAATTATCACAGAACAAAAAAAAATATTGCTTTGCATTTTCCAATGTTTACACCCCTATGTTTTGGTGATAATATTGTATGTTTGACAAATTTTAACTTTATTAAAAGATTGCAACTTCTGTGATCAGATATTGTACTTGGCCATATTGCAATTTTTAAAATATTTCAATTAATTATTCAGCCCTGATTTTCTGCCAACAGTTTACCGAAAGGTTTTTGAAAATCTCTCCTCTTTTATCCATCGTTTGAAATGTGCTGATGTACAAATGTCAAGGTGCCATTAGATTAAAGATGATCTGGGACATAGAAACAGCAAAGTGCACAGATGATTATAACCAAGGACTTTGCCAAAATGATGGGATGCCTTGAAATGACTTGTTTTCTTCTAAAAATATTTTCATTTACATTTATATGAAACAGGAAAGCAGCTCAGATGTATGGAGCTGGAATACCTACATTTTTGGTATTTCTGCTCAAAAAGTCAATCCAATTACTATTTGATTATCAAAGTATTTGCCATTACCTTTTTCCAACCTTTAGGCATTCATCTCTTAATTTGTTTGGTGCTTTTAAACTTTAAGGAACTTCTGAAAGTCTCTCCTGTTGCTGCATCATGTTTAAAATAGAAACTTTTTCAATTATGGTTGCAAGACATTTTTGTGTTCAGTTTTATTCCCCAACATTTGGCTCATTGATGCTGCATGTAAATTGGTTAAATCAGCCCAAATGAAGTAAAGCTTGAGCCCTCAGTACACTTTAAATTTAATGCTTGTATCATTAAACAGAATCTGAAAGCCATTATCACAACTAATCAATGAAAAAATGAATCTGCAACCATTTAGACAAGTGATCATTTGATTTATTTTCTTTTTAGCTTAGGTGTCATGCAGCCTGAGCTCATATACGTTATTTTAAGTGCTGGAGGATCCAGTCATTCATTCCAGTCGAGCGACTAAACATATGCCAAGCAAGACAGCCAGTAAAAACAAATGGTTGGTTGAGTTGTTGTGTTAACATAGAGGTGTGTTGACTGATTAATGATACTGACTCGTGCACTCCACAACATGAAAGAAAACATTCCACCTGCTGGTAGCTGCCGTATGTCTTTGAGCGGCACAGTGAATGCAATAAACGACCCAAGAAAGATAGGCCAATAATTACACAATAGATGAAATTCAAGCCTTTATTTCTGCCTTTATACTGCAGTTATCACTATTATATCTGGAATCCATCAGTGTTGGGGTCTAAATATGAGTTTGCAACACATTATTTACAGACATGACTTAATTGGGTTGTTGACTCGCAGTCTTGCCATGTCATAGTCACTTGACTGATGGAGCGATACTGCAACAGCATGGAGTTAATCCTTTCGATGGGAGTACTCGGCTGTTCTTTTTTGTAAATAAATGAGTGGCAACACGATGACTTCATCAGCTATTCATAGAGTCAGTCTAGCATTTGATCATGTGGTCAGTTTTAGTTGACTAATGTACTTACACTTCTCACAGTAGGAACAGTGGTTATGTAACCTTAGAAACAAGCCACAACTCAACTGTGCATGTACGTCAAAGGTGCTTAAACAAATAGCACTACACCCCTGGTTTTATGTAAACATGCCCCAAATCTCCCAACTGTCTTCTATGCCAGGAACTGGAATGTCTTTGGACTGCTTTGCAAACACTAGAGCAAGATGTGACTTTGTGTTGGCCTTGTTGTACTTGACAGACCAAATGATTAGTCAGTTAACTGAATAGCAACTGAGAATGGAAATAATAGTTGAAGCACAACCAAATACCACTCATAGAATTTATGGCTGCATCTATACATTTTTGTGCTTCTCTTAAACAGAGAGTCAATTGGCCAGATGCTGATTAAGATTTTTCAGTGCAGACACATAACATTTTCTGTAAAAGTGGCTCCCTCACGTTAGCCACTTGATAATAATATCACTATCCCAATTAACTTCAGCTCATCTTCAATTTGGGACCTTTGGGTGGAAGCCATTAACTGTCACAGAAGTCTGTGTCATGGTAGCTCATTACGAAGTAAACCCCCACAATGCTCTCTGCTTGTCAGCATGAACAACTGCCCAGAGTCCCAGTGACCGCCTCATGTAACTTCATCTCCTGCCTTATCCATGAGTATATTTTTCATCTGTTAAATTAAATTAAATAAATTCATGGTTAGTGTAACTAACTTGCCTGCGTTTAGGAGCCATTCCAGCTAGTCTTGCTCATGTCATTGTTAATGGGTAAAACACATAAACCTTCAGCTGTGGTCTGATGACATGTCATGCCAGGGCTTTCTGATTCTGCCTGCTGACTATATTTAACATCATCTTGCTCATTGTGCACCGTGACATGTTCTCCTTCAGGACCAAGATGAAGGAGACAAGTCTCAGGAGGATGACGACAGGCCGGAGGTGTTTTCCAGGAGGAAGCTGGAGTCAAACTGGGACCGTTACAAGGAGTCGGAGAGGCAGGAGTCGGATGACGACACGCCTGTTCAGAGAGGAACAGACTACCATGTGCTGCTGGAGTCAGCAGGTAAGATGGGACTTAAGTTTTTGTAAACAACACCTGCAGTTCCCAAATGTTCCACGACAGGAGAGCTGAGTTCTACTTATGACTCGGCCTTAAATACAGTTGTAGAAGTTGCCATAACAAGTTTGCAAAAGGATCTTGGTGGGGTGTTGACAAATCTTCAGGCAGTTTCTCGGGTAGTGACCCAGTCTGCACGACAAGGAAATGAAGTCGGTTTGCTCCAGAAACCACAAATGTTCAGTTCACAGGAAGATCACTTGATCATTTACCATCTTGTTTCAGCCGGCACGAATACATGTTGACTCAGTATTACCAAAACCATCACTGGATTAAAGAAACAGTACAAGGGTGTGGACGTTTCATTTGCGTATTCGCTTTATTGAAGCATTCCGTGTCAAATTCTCTACTGCAGTCTACGTGCAGTTTTCTGAAGTTGTCTCTGCATCCCAATTAGTTCAGAGGAAATGTGTGTTGTCTTAAGGGACTTTAATTGCTCTGTATGGACGCTGTTGTCAGATGGCTGCATAGAGGATCCTTGGTTGTCTTTGTTTGCTAATTTCAGCCTCAGTGGTCAGCGTTTGGACCCTTGGGCTCTCTACAGTCTCTGATTCTGTTGATATTTATTTCCCCAAAGGATCACAAGTAAGAGAGCTCAGGGAGATTTCATCAAATACAGGGACTGTCATGTCTCGTGTTAGATTAACAGAGCTGTGTGTGTGTGTTGCTGGATTATTATTATTTTAGCAGATGCCAACCATGAAACACAAAGTGGTTTATGCTTGTTTTGAATTGCTGTTGGCTTTCTAGCAATTAATTCATCCCAGTCGGTGTGGATTTTGCAGGATCACGAGTTACAGATGCAGGCAGGTTGTTGCAGCTCAGTAATCTTCTGATCACTTTAACTGCCTCGTTGTCTTGTGAACATCCTGACCAGTGATGGTGAGTGCAGTTACCATGACCTGAACCTTCCGTCTACACTCAGACTTTAATGGCATGCTTGCTTTTCCTTTTCATCAATGTTTCCTGAGGCGATGCACACGTTTGTCACCAGTTGTATGCTACTGTAAAGTTTAATCTTTACTGTGTCTGTCAGCTCCAGCAGAGGTACCAAACACTGAAGCTGACACAGCTCCTCCCAAATCATCACAATAGGGCTTTGAAATAACGGATGGTTAACTTTAGTTCCTTGTTGTGTTTTTTTTACACATCTGTTTGCATTAGAGACTGTTGACAGTAAAGACAACCTGAAACAACTCAAACAGAGGCTATAATTGTCCCCTTCTCAATAAAGCTGATTCATCTATGGTGTAGCAAAGCCTGATTGTCTTTTCATACACACACACACACACACACACGGACACACACACATGCAAATACACACGCAAATAAAACTATTTTTGCAAGTTTTCTTAAGTTCATATTTTTCTAAACTGTTGCAGCCAAGAAATTCATTGGCTGAGACATTTTACAGCTTGTGCAGAGGAGTTTTCCTTTAACTCTCTGAATCCCCAAAAAACAACCGGCTTAAAAGACAGAAAGTTTAAAAAAGGAAAAAATTGTTGGATTTTTTAACTTTCCTGATAGTACTTGAACTAATCATGTAAGATGTGTAGTTTTGTCAGAAAAATTACCCAAATATAAGCTGTTTCTTAAAAAATTATTTATTCTTTATGTGTTAAAACTTTTGGCCAAAGTCAATTGGTACATGAGTGTGGAGACAAATGAAAAATGTGAGCATTTAAATATCTATGGTATGTTGTGTCACTTTTTTCCCAGTATCAGTAACGCTTTTTGATAGTGTTGTGAATGGTGATTCCAATTTTTTTTTCAAGTAATATAAAATAAATAATGAAAAAAAAATTACTTCTCATATATATATATTACCCTGGTGAGGATTAAGCGGTGTATAGATAATGGATGGATGGATATATATATATTTTATTTTGATGATTTATGGCATTATAACTTGGTTATACTGCACTAAAGAGATTTCTGAGTTCTAGCCATGGTTGTTCTGTTTCCATAGAGGTCCAAGACTTTGTATTGCAGTGAAAAATGAGCCCACAGTGAAGAGAAATGTGACAGGACAGCAGTGTAGGCCCAGAAACAACTTGGAGTTTAGTCATTTTTTTATTTTCATTTTTAGCTGATTCTGAATTTAACTTTGACTACTTTATTACATCAGAGTCATCTATGGCAGGAGTGACTGCAAATCTTTGCGTCACTTCCACTTAGTCTCTTGTCAACACGGCTGAGCAGGTTTCATAATATACTGTGGCAGACGGTAGAACACTTCAATAGAAAAACTGGTATTTTGATATGGAGGTCCTAAAATGTTATCTGGCGTTGGATCATTTAAATTTTATAAAGCAGTGGGATGTGATATGGGTATTTGGATGCCGTTATTCAGAGTAGGGTCACACCAACGCACTGCCCTTGGTTTAATTAACCAAAGTCAACCAACCATGCTGAGATGATTGGCTCTCCCTAGTTTACCACAGTGGCACATTAAAGAACTAGAACGTGTTTGTATCTGACTTTACCTTTTTTGCACATTTTATGTTTTCTTTTTTCTCCACTTATTCATAGTTAAATTAAAGCTGGAGTAGGCAGAAATGTGCATAACGTGAGTCTGTTATGGCTAAAAGTTTTGTGATATTTAACAGACCAGTTGTTTGCTCTTTTTTCAGAGACCAGAAAAAAGTATTTTTGTTAGTTTAATAAGGCTTTTTACCTTTTCATAATGTTGTAAAGCTTCACTTATAGATGTGTTTATATGAACCGCAGGTCAGTGACGGTGTCTAAATTAAAAGGTTCATTCACAGTGACAAACTGTTGGAGAATAACCAGACCAGACTCCGCAGCTCCCATCAGAGACTTGAAGCAGTTTAGTGTCTTTTAGGTAATTAATTCAGTTTTAGGGCCTTGTTGTGCTTCCAGTTGGCTGAAAAATTCAATTAGTGCAACTTTAAATAATATTTCAACAGATTGGGGATAGCAATCTGGAGGAACACTAATTATCATGATTTCTGGCAGGAAAATTGACAAATTTAATGATCACCAGAAAAAAAAAAACTGATGCATGATGTTTGACAGCCCTTAGAGTCTAATCTGTTTAAACCTACATGCAACTAATTACTGGATCAACAACCATTTAAAGTCCTATTTCTTTGATCCTCGTTTGATGGGGTTTCAGGTGTTCACACTCACTGACGGGCGGTATGCAGGAAGTGATGAGGCCATTTTTAACTCAGGATGAGTGTTTGGAGCAGCAAACTGTTTTTGTAGGATTGTTTTTTTTTTTTCTCACGCCATTAGAAAGTTAGAGAGTGTAGCAGCGCCGTGTCGCTCGCTCTCCTTCTCTTGTAGTGTAAATGCCAAAGGTGCTCTTGTGAGTTGTTTGACTCCTATCTCTCGTCTCTGTGTTTTGCCCACATTGCCAGATTAGTCATGCTGTACAGCAAGAGGCTGCAGCTCTCTAGCGGATACTTAATTGTACGTGGGAGGTGATGCTTTTAAGAGTCGTTTTTCTGGCCAATTAAGGTAGCCATGAAATCAGGAATTCACCACAGAAACCTCCCTTTTCCTCCTGGCTAAAGCTATTACAGAATACTTCTTCTTGTGGAAGCTCCTATCGCCACCACTTTTTGTTTCCAAGGTGTCGAATTGTTGAAGTATTCTGTTTGTTTTATTGGCAAGATTGGACAGAATGTGCAGGTCAAAAGTATTTGCAGATTTTATGTTATTTCAGGAGAGAAATGGCCCACAGCAGTGTTTCTCAACCTTTTGTAATGTATCTTGCGAGATTCAAAATCCCAGGGCAGTAAGGTTGAGAGCAGAGCTTTACCTACAGCACGGTGGAGGCGTTAGACGAGAGTGCGATTATAGGCTGATTTTTTTACAACATTTTAATCAAGTAGATAAAATGTTTTCTTTCCTTTGCTGCAATTTCTCTACAAAATGAGCTACAAAGGTTCCGGCTGTCATCAGAGGACATTTTTATCAGATAAACCACCGTTATCAGAGCTGAGCACATCTGAAAAGCCCAAAACAAAACAGCTCAAATATATATCTGAGTGGGTGGGGATTGTTTTTGTCCTCCGTGACATTTAGGAGAAGAAAGCACTGCATTATTTGTTACCTCAATACTGTGTAACTTTTCAAAGACGATCTCCAGAGCTGCAACAATTGGCCAGTTAATTGCTCAGTTGACCAGAAATTATTGTGGAATTAACGTCTCAACAGTACTCCCATCCTCCATGGTACGGCGTGTGAATTGTGGGTGCGACTTGTACTGCATCCTGCCACTGTACAGGAAGCAACGCTTTCCATGGTAACGGCACACCAATCCTTTTTCTAAGAACGATTGGGAAACATGTGGGAACACCACCTGTTACGCCTAAAACCGGAAAGCTGGTTATACAGAACCTCTGCCACTGAGGGACGGGAGGATGATCTGAAGAAGTGACGTAGATAATGTACAGCAGCTACTGTACTGACACTGTTGCTATAGACAGCGAGGTGATGTCTCTCTGAAGCTCTGAAGCGTATCAGTTCTTCCACAGTAAACAGGTCGGTTGCATTTTGTTAAAGAAGGTGGAACATAACCCGATCTATCTTATAACTTCAAATTGATTGTGTTGTGCCACGTTAATTACAGTTCCAATCAATATCTGTGATCAACAAAGCAGTGTTTGTTAAACTGAAGGTACTTTACCTTTCAAAGAATCACTGTTGGGGGTTCCCCACCATGATTAGTCACTAGGGCTAAGTAGCTTACTGGTAGTACTCGTAAAGCTTTTTTTCCTTAACAATTTTCTATTTTCCTTGATAGCTGAGAGAATATCTTTGCATTTTGGACTGCTGTCAAGTGAGTCAAAATTAGGGATAGTTGGAGCATGTTGATCTGATATTTGATAAACTAAAGATTTAACAAGGTCAAAATGAAGAGTTCATTTGCAAAAACAGAACTCCATTTTTGTAGATTGTCAGAAAACTTTTTTTTTTATTGTTTCTTTGCTTGAGGTAATATCAATCAAACTGAAGCTGAGTGGATTTGACTCAGTAGAAATGACACGACAAAAATAGAGATAACTTAAGTTTGATTGATATTATCTCAGGTAGACGATGGAAAAGTGGGTTTTCTGAAGGTTTGTGAAGATGGAGTTATCTGTTTTTGTAAATAAACTCTTCAAATAATCTACAGTAAAACTAATAAAATGCAGCCCTAAACGGATATTACTGATTCAGTTTGTTGACTTTATGATTACGATGTTGCCACAAAGTTAAATGAGGTTTTGCTTTTATCGGTGTCGTAAAATTAATGACCACATGTATTTACAGACGGAGATGAGCTCTTCATGTTGTTGTGAAGACATTTTGTGTGTGTCAGCTGGGTCAGATAAGGCAGAAGCAAGAATTTTTGGAAATGAAAGTATAAAAAAAAAAAAAGCACTCACTGACATTAGGGTATTGTGATGATGCCTGTCATCACCTTGAACACCACTGCAGTGACAAAGGAATCACTTGTTAAAAGAAAAGAAAGAGAGTTTCCCTTTAAATGAAGAGAGTTACTTGTGCTTCACAACGCTGTCAGATGGAGAGACTGTCTTATCAAAATGGCTCCACGGTTGGACTGGTTACTGAAGCTTTAGATGCCAAATCTACAATGATAGTTCCCACTGAGGCACAGCTCCCAGCTGTCACAGTCCACAGTGTTACAAAACGACACATTAGAGTGCAGCAATCCCAGAAAGTGAGCCTGACACAGCCTTGGGAAGTCTTCTTGTGGTTGCCTCTGGAGCTTAATGAAGGGCTGTTTTTCATCTAAAATGAGCATCTGATCAAAGCTTTAGAACAGCTACAAAACGAACACTAAGGTTTTTATTTTGGTGAAGTTTTTTTGTCATCACATAAAATGACACAGTTCTAAAATGAGAATGTAGATAACTTAAATCAAACATACCCTACATTCCAAACTACATAGTTCTCAACTTAAGTAGTGCTGCAAACAGTACGCATACATTTAGAAAATACTACTTTGTCATATTATTGCACCTGAAATTGTGACTGTCTGGTTCATATATCTGTCACAGTCTGCAGTGAGTGGAGCAAGCTTTTTACTTTAACGACTCACCACCAGGCAGTATGGGTTACAATACCTGTACTACCATAATGTATAGTATGATAGAAACATAATGAGTATGTCCCAAAACACCCATCCATCTATCCATTATCTATACACCGCTTAATAGGGTCGTGGGGGGCTGGAGTCTATTCCAGCTGACTCAGGGTGAAGGAATGGGACACCCTGGACAGGTCGCCAGTCTATCACAGGGCTACACTTATAGACAGACAACCAAGCACACTCACATTCACACCTACAGACAATTTAGAATCACCAATTAAACTCAGCATGTTTTTGGACTTTGTGGGAGGAAGCCGGAGAACCCGGAGAGAACCCACACTGCATGGGGAGAACATGCAAACTCCAGGTCAGGTCATGTTTCCAAATGAGAACTGGTTCTCAAACATTTTTACCTGGTAAAATAAAGGTAAAAAACCCCCCCCAAAACAAACAAAAATAAAACTCCACACAGAAAGATCCCGGGTGTCCTCACTGGGACGCCAACCGGTGACCTTCTAGCTGCGAGTCATCTTGCAGCCCGTCCCAAAACATAATATGTCAATACTAGGATGTCCAACTACATCTGGTTTCATTTTGCAATCTGCAAACCAGCATAGTTTCTGACCCGCAATCCCCTGCACAGTGGAAGATGAGTCATGTAAGTGACAATGTCTCGCTTGAGTCACAAGCTGGTGAGACTGAACAGACAGGTGATCTCACTTTGCAGATCTTAACAGACATATGAGCAAATCAGACAAAAATTAAGGTTTAATATTGTAACAGTAGTACGTCCAAATAGTACGAACTGTGAGGAAAAAGAAAAAGTATGCCATCTGGAATGCAGGGCGTGATGCATGTGACGTATCTTCCACTGTGCAGACTGTTGGTCAGAATGTCCAGAAAAGCTACTGGCCGGATGTAGTAGGACATCTTGGTATTTTTGAAACACTGCATTTGATTTAACTATGTATTGGGAAGTATTAAATCTTTTTCTGGTGTTTTATCTTGTAAGGGTATTGGCATACACCCATGTTAAAGGTTTTAACACCTTTTCTTCCAACCCAAAATGATCACAAAATGCGTCGAATTTAACTTAGGGAAACTATTCTCGGTGGTATCCTCCATCATCAACTTGTCTGTACTCTGCGCTACATTAATGCCGCGGCCCATACATCCCACTCTTTTCATTCAATCATTCTGCCTCACATGTTCTAGTGCAGAACCTGTCACTGCTGTTTATGTAGCTTCCATTTATATCACTTCAGGCTGTTTATATTTCATTTAGACTTTTTCTTCCGTTTAATGTATCCAAATGCATTTGCTGCTACGGTGACTCACTTTTCCCACCAAGAGCCTTAAAGTTTCACCCAGCCTCTGCATGGATGCCTGCAGTACAAATACATGCACAAATGTCAAATTCAAGTGGGAAGTTTAACACAGCATTATCAAGACTTGAATTGCCCTCACCAGTCTATTTAAAAATATATAATTGAGGCGTACAGTGCCAGACTTGTGTTTGCGAAAGCTCTATTGAAAGCTGTACTGTACTCGGTGTGATGAGAAAAATGGAGCCCAACAGGGAAATTATGTAAACAGACTGTTTGATTTGAATTGAAGGTCATGTTGATTTCTGTTATTTCGTGGCCTCATGGATAGCTATTATGTAGCCCCTCTGCTTGTCCAAACATCCCGAGTGCTTTTAGCATTCATGTGTTTTGATTGACTGTGATTACGCTTTTTTTTTTTTTAATTCATTTTTTTTTTATAGATTCCATGTGTCAGGAGGCAGCAGACCTTTTCAATGACTGTGGTTTCCAGACTGAGGAGACTTTTCAAGGATGAAACCTTGGTGCTTTAGATACTTGAAATATTTCAAAACCGTTGAAATTTGAAAATGCTTTTGTTGGACAAAGGTTTTCATCACCTTGAGACCTGAAGTAGTGATGAATCAGAAAGGAGTTGTGGTGAATGGAGTATGCATTGATTGAATTAAAACACCTTTAGGCTGCATTCAAGCCTCGGGGAATGAATAGCTGTTGGTTTCTGTATCCCAAACGCTTTTTTTTTTTTTTTCCGGCTAGGGTTTGTCTTGGTTTTTGCATTGTTGGGGACTGATTGTGCCGTTGCTAGAGGCAATGCACACATGGTGCGATACCCTTCTTCTGCATTTGTGTCCATGTGCCTGTATGACTGGGGGAAATTGCTGGCCAGTTATTTACATCCTAACATGGTCATCTATCTGTACACATTAACACAAGGATCAATCCTCCTCCCCCGCAGCCGTAGTTTACCAGGCCACTAATGGGCACCTATCAAGGCTCCATCATAATGAGACAAAAGGAAATCACATTAGAGCTTCAGTGATTCAGCTAACTAGATTGACAAACACAAGGACGTTTTCCTAACTGAGATGAATAGTCCCAATCATGCCATTAATTTATATGTTCCGGTGTCATTACGGATACTTGATTAGCCATGTAGAATGGAGCAGATTGGCGTCAAAGCAGAGGAATGAGGCCGGTCGTGTACTGTCTGTCGGGCAAAAATAGGAAACAAAGCATTACAGGTGGTTGGTTTGTTTCCCTGCAACTGCTGATTAAGATGAAGCCGGTGGAGGATGGTGCAAGGCTAAATAAAGCTGCAGGTGGATCATAGACACTTCACTGAGATCATCCCTCCGAACCGTCTGCCCACTTTCATCTGTAAATACCTGTACCAGTGTTCAAGTGCCACTACGTTAACATACAAAAGTTCATTTTAGGGTGTCGGTTGTTTTTCGCAATCTGTTAGTCATCTTAGCTAATAATAATATTGTAAAATAGCAAAAAGTCTCAATCACAGTTTCCCAGAATCACAGTTAATTTTCCTTGGATTTCTTGTTTTTTTTTTTGTTTTTTTTTACCAGAACAGCAAAACTCAGAAAAATTCAATTTATTATCAGACAAAAGCAACGAATTTGGCAAGCGGCACCTAATGAATATTGGACATTTTTGCTTGAAAATGACCAGATACAGTTACTGGATTTTCAAAATTACGGTTCTAAAGAGCACTTTTGTCCATTATCATCGATCTTGTCCACTAAACAAACAATTTTTAAAATTAGTATGATTTAGGAGAGTAGACGAAGATACCTCTAGCTTCTATGATGATTCCAAAAATGTCCTGAATTAAACTTACTGAAGCAAGTTCTAATTATTGATTGATTGTATTGGCAATTTTATGTTCTCAAATGTGACAATTTGCTGCTTTTTTTTTGTTCTTACATTGTAGTAAATTGAATATTTTGGGATTTTTGTCACAACAACACAAAATATTTAGTGATCGTATGCTGTTTTCTTACATTTTATAGACCAAAGTAATCATTTGGAAAATAACCTGACAATTAGTTGTTAATGAAAACAATCTTTAGTTGCAGCAGTTGCAGTGAAGATTTTGCATTTTCTTTCTTGTAAAATTTCTTTTCATAGTCTGAACTCTCAAAGCACTGCTGACACTGATGCACCCAAGCACTTGTTCAGTGATCCATTATTACAGCTCCATTTACTATTCACTAATAAAAATTTGATTATGTTAGCCTTTAATAATATGATTCCACCGCACAGTAAGTGGGGTCAGTTGACAGCTGTGAACTATTCAGCTCCCGTGAACTGTTTAATTTCCTGCCATAATAACCACATCAAACAGCATACATACTCACCCTGTGTGGCTCTGACAAACACGACGCTCCAGCATAAAATAGGCGTTCGGCCAAGTCTTTGATACGCTGTTTTTCCTTCGCTCCTTTTCAGTGTGCCAGAGTTAGCCGAGTTTCTTCTATGAGCTCTGTAAGTCTTCTGTAGCTCTCTCTCTCTCGTCCACTCACAGTGTTTGGCTCACACCTTCCCTCGCTGGCTCTCTCTTCCCCTCCCCTGTTCCCTCTCGCTGACTTTTTCCTCTGTGCTCTGCTCTCCAACGAGGTGAAAAACACACATACAGGTAGGTCATCACACCGTCTCTCATCCTCATCAGTTGCTAAGTACGAGGCACTTTGATGAAAACAAGTTTGTCAGCATTGTGGTGTAGTATACTGTCGCTCCTCAATGGTTCAGCTTCTTTCTGAGACAAGATGTTAAATGCAACAGCTGTTCAGTGTCAGTGTCCGTGTGACAAAGCAGCCGAGGTGCTTCGTTGAGTCCTTTTTCTCAGAACGATGAATTACTGAAAAGAGCTCCTCGTTCTTAGCAGCGATGATTAACTGAGAGTCTCATCAAAGCTTTTTTTTTCCCCACCGAAAGATGAACTTGGGAGCTCAAATCTTCTGAGGAATCGAAGAAAACAGCAAAAAGTCTTTTTCGCACTCTTTCTGCAAAGTTTGAACACGTCCAACGGCAAGGAAAGCAAGTACTCTCTTTGATCCTCAAGGCTGCACACACTGAATGGCTTTTTTTTTGTTGTCTCCTACAAGTCTTCTGCTTGCTGATGCAGAAAAAGCTGTTTGGACGCCCGCTGCTCTAACATCCTCACCAACACGCCGATTCAGCTGTGAGCCACTACTGCGAGAAATTCCCACATATGTGAAGCCACATGCTGTATGAGAGCACTGAGCAACATGTAAGAGGAGGGAGGAAGAGGTGAGGAGGTGGAAGAGGTGGTGGAGCAGGATGAAACTGGGGGAGGAGGAGCTGGAGGAGGAGCTGATGTGGGTGTCAGCAGCAGTTCAGGAGGAGCTGAATGCTTGCCTTTGCCATGGCAGTGCAGCAGAGCTGTATGTCTTCATCAGAGGGGAAATACAATCACACAACTGGCTGTGGCTGGCTCCACCATCACATGTCCCACTTCATGGTGACTTGGTTGGTAATTCTGGAGGCATAAAAAGCTTTAAAAGCAGAGCGAGTGACTGTTCAATCAGTCAGTGCAGATTGATGGAGTTCTTCTGCTGCCTTCAGTTTACTCCCATCAGCCAGGCTTTCTTTTGATGTGACCTTTTCTGTACAAATAAGCTTCTTGTCATAGTCACAGTGTAAAAAGGAGCAAACAAAATATTTTTTCTGTTCCTTAAGGAGGTAAAAACAAAATTATTCGCTCAGTGCCTGAAATGTTCAGTGTACTCAGTGAAAGCAGACAGAAACCTAGTGGGAGGATGTCTAGAGTGTACCCTGATACAGAGCTTTTGAGTCTGTTCCTGATACTGAACAGACTGAACAGTCTTGATATAGATCCCCTCATTTTTTTCTTCTTTTTGTTGTGACCAAGCTACAGTATGACAGTTGAAAAAGTGACTTGTCAGAATTACCAATATACAATATCTGCATACAAATATAGCAATGTATAGTCAAGCCGCTAATTATCCACAGGCAGGACACATTTAGATTTATATTGTTTGGTATAGTGTATTGTGTTTGAGTTGTTATTAAGTTTTTAGCCTCTCTATGTTAGTCTTACAATTTTACAAAAATTCCTCGTTTGAATTTATTCATACCTCTTCATTTTTGTAAGAAATTATTGTCTTGTACTTTTTCTCCAAAAGTACAAGGAAGTCCACACTGTGACAAATCTCAAAAGTCATGTTGGGAAGGCAAAAGTGATACTGACAAGAATGATAGATGCCAAGAAGAATCCAAGGATCACCACCAAGACCGTCCTGATGAATCTGAGTTCTGGTCCCATCAATCAGACACTTGAGCAGAAACCAAACAAGGCTGGTCTCCTGGCCACCGGCCAAACAGGACTCCACTTCTCTAAAGTAGACACACAAAAGTTTAGCTGGGCAAAGAAGAAAGACGTAGGTCATCAGTCGTGTAGATGTATGAGGTAAATATAGTGTTGTTTGGACGAAGCTTTCATTTGATGAAACAGAAGAGAGGCATCCAACCCCAAGAACACCATTCCCACAGTCAAACATGTTGGTGGCAATGTAACGGTCTGGGGGAGTTTTTCAGCTGGTGGACCGGGCAGCCTGGTCAAAGTCAACGGCATCATGAGAAAAGAGGACGACATTAAGATTGTAGAGAAAAACATTAGGCAGGCTGCAGAAAAACGGATCCTTGAGCAACACTGGACCTTCCAACAAGACAATGATCTAAAACATTCAGCCAAAGTGGTGAAGAGAGGGTGATAGGAAAACAGTATGAACATTTTAGAGCAGACCTGAATCCATCGTGAACCTGTAGAAGGAACTGAAGACCAGACTGAAGGTGAGGAAGCGTTCCGGGTTTAAAGACATGGAGAACTTAACAAAGAGGAGTAGAACAAAATCTTAACGGAGACCTGAAGAAAGACTGTTAGCAATTATAAGAACCACTAGATTGTTGAGGTGGCAAATAACCAGATTTTTGACAATGAATGAATGGTATGAATAATTTTGAACAAGGCATTTTTAGTGAAAATGTACAAAAAAACAACAGAAATAGTTAAAAGGCATCATAAACATATTTAACACAATGTTTTGCTATCTCTTGCACTTTCATTTCCAGTTGGAAGAATCCTATTGGTCAAATAACAATTCACTATAAGTCCCTTTATAGAAATGACAAGTTGCTTTGAAGTATTTACTTGAAGAACATCTCAGTAAAACACGATATATTTTACATTTATTCCAAATGTCAAAGTAATGCACATTATACATAGATCTTAATAACATTTTTGTTATTTTAAATTAAACATCTTCTCATATCTCATGTCTCTCAAACATATCAATATTGCTAAACTAAGTCAGCTGGACAGTCGTAATGATTTTTGCACAGCTCTACCAAAACATTGTCCATCCTTTGGGGAGGCAGAATTACATCTTTGACTTCAGGCTCCTCAGAGCCACATGGCATTGGTAATGAGCGGTGTGTCATTATGAGAAGGAACATGGAACATATTGTATCAATAGCAACGCATTGATCTTCTATTGACAGTAGGCCAGTCTAACGGATAATGGCCCTTTATTATTCCTGGCAAATTCTCGACATGCTTCGAATCAGTGTCTTTGGCTGTTGTGTTGTGTAGGAGCACCATTTAGTCTTCTGTTGATAAAACCAGACAAAACTACTCCTTCAGCTTATGATTTGACAGACCCAACAGTTTTGAAAGCTCACCTGCTGGTCATCGTCCACTTGTATTCATGTCAGTAAGAAGTGTCCACTCCAGAGCAGAGCACCGGTGACTGTTGATGTAATGAGATGAACATATTGGACTTGTTGTGGAAGCTGCTGTCAGCACACACAACATCTAAGTGAGCCACAGTGATGAAGATGTTTCTGTTCTAATTTTAGCCTCAGAGTTATTTATAAACCTTACAACTTGTCCTCAGCAGAATTTAGGCCAAGTGTCTCAGCATTTTTTGTTTCATCATCGATTTATCAACTCATATGGAAGCTGCATTTTATAATTTCTTTGTATCTTTTATCTAAAACTTAAATAAAGTAGGTAACAATAATTCATGAGGTAATTGGTAATTTAACAAACCACTGATTCGCAAAGGTTGATTAATAAAATCTTAAAATCAAATTAAATGGAAACACACACAATGAGATAAGATGACCAACACTTTAAAACAGCTGTGATGACATCAGAAGAGAGTTGAAGAAAAAGCTGACGTTGCAATATTTTGTTTTTCTGCACCATATATTGTGATATGAAAAACTACAGGAATTTTCACTACATTACTTGAATAACTCTATTTAAAAATAATTGATCTTTACACAATGATTGGTGTGATTTTGTAGGGGATTGTGTCAGATTTGAAAAAAATTAAGAAATAGAAAAATTCAAACCTGAAAAATGACATGTTTACTTTTCAGTGTGGACTGTTTGTAACCTTTCTAATGAAGTGTGACACTGGAAAAGACAACCAAAATAGTTTTTGCTTTGGATGGCCTTCAGATCTGACTTTCAACTCATCATGCAGAGCTTCGTGCTGCTGATTTAAATAGTCAAATACATTTTATGGTGACAACAATTGCACAACAGGGCTGAACCTGTCGGGGCTCAATGGGTTGTTTCAGTGTCTGTAGCTTTAAATGTAGCTGAGTTGCTGCTGCCTGCTCCCCCTTCAGGAAGAAGACAGCACAAGGCAAAACAGTTGACCGACAACATCAGTTGCTTCTAACTTTATGTCTAAATTATTATTTTACATGGAAATATTGCCAAATTCACAGTACAGCTGTTGCTTTCAGCTTGTGTGTTTGTGATAAAATTAGTATTACAGAGCAGCAGCTTGGAAATGGCTCTGAAGTGACTGCTGGGTAACATGTAGTCCTAACAGGCTGTGTTTCAGTCCCTATTTCAAACTTGTTCCATTGCCTGACACCAGAAACAAATAAATATGTAAATGAGAACATCTTTTTTGAGGATTCAGCTGCATTAAGATACAGTATATGTGAGCACATAGAGCAGGAGAGAAGCAAACAGATGTAAACACCAACTGAGTTAGGTTACACTGAAGCCCAGCAGACGACATGAAAACACAGTAACACACTCTCTGTCCTTGTTTATTTCAAATCAGTCTCAAAGTCTCTTTCCACCGTCTCTGAATGCCCCCCAGTATTACAGTTTCCACAGAGATCTGACTTGTGGCTGTCTAATCAGAACAAATGGTATTGTTGGCCACCTTAGCCACACAATATAATAACACTAAGCGTTTTCCTATTGTTAGGGGGGCAAAAATAAAAGTAATCCACTGACTCTTCAGTTCCTCAGATGCTGGGAGTGGAATGAAGTCAGTTGTGTTCGCTCTTACAGCCGACAGCATAACATTTAGTGAGCATTACTCGTGGCTGAGGCGT